TAAGGCTTGGGTTTTAATCTGTGCTTGGACTCTGGTTTGGCTTTGAATGACTCGGCTTCAGTCTCTATTGGGGCTCGGTTTTGCCTGATCCAGTCCTTGGTTTCTTTTTTTCAGTTTTGCCTGATCCAGTCTTTCGTTTTTTTTTCTTTAAAGCATGGGATCTGTATGTTGCTGGCTACTCCAAGTCCAATATATGTGAGGGATTTATCCCCAAAGGTGCAGGGTGTGGTTTTACTCGTGGTTTTACTTGTTCTTGGCCCCACTCGAGAGTTTGGCTTGGTTTGGTTTTGCCTTTTCTGGACCTTACCCGAGAGCTGGTTTGGTGCAAGGGCTCGGTTTTGCTTATTTGACCCTGTTTTGGCTTTGAATGTCTCGATTTTAGGCTTCCTTCTAGCTTTCCTTAGAGCTCGGATTCACTCGCTTTGGCTCTTACCCGAGATGTAGCTTGAGAGTTTGGTTTGGTTTGTTCTTAGTCCTACGCGTGAGCTTGCTGGCAATCCTTTGGGTTTGTTTGGCTCTTCCTACACGAAGTGGCTTGGGTGTTGATCGATGAGTCAAGTTTAAACGTATGTCTTTGCCCTATCCATAAAGTGAAGTGATTGAAGAATGGGTTGAACAGTTTCCTTATGTCATACTTGGTGAAATTGGAGTTGGTTTGGAGGCTTTGTGAGGGTTTATCCATTCACTCTCCTATGTATATCAAATATCTTCATATAATTGATTTGGGTTGCCTTAGCCGTGAGCCTCTTTTGGCCTTGGGTTGCCTCGGTCGTGAGCCTTACTTGTTGTTCCTTGGGTTGCCTTTGGCCATGGGCTTTAGCAGCCGGTAGCAGCTGCCCTTAGCCGTGAGCCTTACTTGTTGTTCCTTGGGTTGTCTTTGGTCATAGACCTTAGCAATTGTCCCTTGCTTCCCTTAACCGTGAGCCCTAATAGCTCCCCCCTTTCCTTTTTGGTTGCCTTGGCCGAGAGTCTTACCTGCTGTTCATCTCTTTGTATTGACCCCGGCCGTGAGCATTTATTTGGTCATATGGGAATATTTTATGCTTATTTGATATATGAGGCTATTGATTAATTTGAAAATTGGAAGATCCTGATTTTTGTATGGATTTGGAAATATTGGTGGTGGTTTCCCCGGTGTCACTTTCTTTTTGCTCGATTTATGAAGTTTGAGAGATTTCTAAGTCTCATTTTGGAAAAACATTTGGCTGAGACGAATTAATTTCAAAAGAGATATTTTTGGGGTTTGGATACCGGCGTTAGGAAGTCATTTTGACTTGGGTTGATCCACTTATAAAAATGTGAGAAAATAATACCCTTTCGGATTAATTCAAGGATCTTTGGGCTTTCATTTTCAGGTTTTTTCGCACGAGTTTTGAGAGTTGATTCATCATTCGTTCTTTTCGATATTTTAGGTGGATCAATCTCTCCTCTCTCTCACCTCATTTTTTTTCATTTTTTCCTTGTTTCTTGATTTGGTTTTTTATGTTTATATCTGATACATAAGTGTCCAAGTATAGCATTTTGTTATACGTGAAACCATCAAGCAAGGTCGCAAGTAGGTCAGTTTTGTTTTGGGGCTTAGGGTTGTGATAGCAAAGGCACACCGGAGATATAGCAGAATGATATTTCATCCTACGACATCGGAATCCGATTCAGGAACCCATCAGGATCCGATTTAAAAACCCGGTGAGCTGTAGGATGACAATATCATTCAGCGACACAAGACTAGCAGGAATTGACCCGAACTTTCTTAGGTTGTTGGTAGCCTTATGTCCGACAGCGCGATCGACTCGTGGACTACTTTTCAAAATTGATAAAAATAAATTTGATAAGAACAAATACACTTTTTTTTTAAATAAAAATACATTTTTCACTACAAACAAAATTGATACAACCCACTTTTTGCATGTTTGAAATCTATGTGCATGCTAAAAATATAAATTTTAAATACATTTCAAACATCAGTTGTCCCCCTGTTGATCACTTGTTTAGGCTAAGGAGTACCCTCCTGAGTTACGTTTTATAGAACACCCTTCTAGTTGAGTGGCGGGCTTTATACATCCGGGTGACCGAGTAACCTTCGACGACCCTCGAGTACTAATATATAGTTGAGCCTAGCCCCGACCCGAGTGCTTGCGGTCCCCCTCTTTTCGGAATTTTTCATATGTTTTTCTTTGAATTTTTGGACAAATCACTCGTAGTCTCTTTTCAGAATTTTCCCGTATTTTCTACGATTTTAATCGATTTGTCGATTCGTCGATTTCCTCGCATTTCTCTTGTCGTGAGTCTTTTGACGATCTTTCTCGATACTTCTGGACGATGTTTCTTTTTTTTCGTTCATATAAAGCATTTCAGCCTGTTTCCTCAAGTTTTGTTGTTTGTACCTGTTGCATCAATTACACCCAAGGAACAGCGGATCTCTCAGTTATACAGGTTTGTTTTACGTTTACAGCATGTTACTTTCTTGCAAATCACCTACCTGCTGTATTCTTTTTATTTTTCCTTTGTATTCTTTTTACTTTTCCTTTACACCGCATTTTGTATTGTTTTCTTTACTGCATATTCTACTGCTTGTTCGGTGCTACATACCCTACTGTTATGATATACACTTTACAACTTCAACAAGTTATCCATAAAATATTTGAAGAACTACAACCATAGGGCCGCTGGATTTGATATTATAACCTGACACCCTAAAAAACTCAAACTCGTCACGACAAAGAGCTTGGAACTAGCGCGATGGGCAGCACGACCCTTTTCAACAGCAAAACATGTCTTCCCCAGCTAAACTATTCATTTCCTAGAAATTAAAACAACAATTCATAGGATTTCAAGGTTGTTCGCCTAGCGCAGCATAAATCCTCAACCTTTTCGTTAGGCATTTGTATAGCTCTGTCATACGATCTAAGCCCTATCTCGTTTTAGGATTCTGAGGTTGTCGTTCGTTATGGCCTAAATTTTCACATCTTCCAAGCGACTATTTGTGTGATCGTTTCACACGAATGTAAGTCCTAAATAAATAAAATTGGCATGATAAAACACTTGAATATTTCTACTCGAAATTGAAGCTAAATCATAGGGTAGACTGAGAAGCCATCGAGGATCTCCTCGGGATCTATGGCATCCCCTAGCTCTTCCTCCTTTGGATTCTATAATAAATGTTCCAAGTTTGAATCATTCCTTTTTACACATCTCTTTGTCCGATTTCGTTGAAAAGTCTCATTCTTTTGAAGTCCTTAAAGATAATTTTTCCTGATTTTTATCGAGAATATTTTTAAGTGACTTTGGTCATTTAAAATTTAATTAACTATAGAGGTTTGCCCTTATAGAAAACTTTTACAAACCCAGTTTAAAATAAATCATATTTAATTTTTCATATTAAATAGGGAAATTTGTCGGCAAATAAAACGGTTCTGCAGACCAAACGGACGTCATGTATTTCTTAGTTTATTTGATCGAGTCTTATCCTTAAGTCTTGTGTTTATTCCTCAGAATAGATACAAGGTTTGAGGTAAAGCGCTCTTTCATTTAAAATATGAAAAATATGGGGTCAGTTTGATTTTTATATTTGATTTTAAACTTAAATCAAAGTGTCCTTCCGAAGCGGACGATGGAATTTCGATTCCGGTGACCGACAGCTTCTTACGGGCAACTCTCCCCCAAACCACAAACACCCTAAACTTTTTATCGCCGACAATGACCAAATAACCAAAGTAAGAGACCTAAAGGAGAAGATACCAAAGAACCTTGCATATTATTCCCTACTTACACTAGTAGTATATTTTATCACAACTAAATTTCCTATGGTACTATTGTATTTGTTTGTGCCACCACTGCACAAGCACCAACACCGCCTCAGTTGCAACACATTCAAACAATTCGCCAAAACCAAAAGTTAAAGACTCAAGCAATCTTCCTCTCTTCTTCACTATCTCCCCCCTCTTTTATCCCTCTTTATCTCCCTCTCTCTTTAATTCTCTATTTTATCACTTTGTAGCCCACTTCCCTCTCATTTTTTTCTTTAAAATCAAATAGCCATCTTCTTTCTTCCCATTGCACGAAGAGAAAAAATTTAATGTCATAAGCCCCCTTTAGGTCTCCTAGTAATAGAGCTCGAGAAGATGGAAATTTAAAAAAAATAATAAGTTCAATTTTATTTTGAATCAAATTCATAATGAAAATTTTTGTACCAAACTGCTTAACATTTAGTCATCCAAGAATTTAATTGATATAAATATATATTTATCCATAAAAATATCTTTTCAATAGTATAATCATATAAAAATATTGAGGTCCACAAAATAACATAAGAAACCTGACAAGATGCACTTTTTTTAGTATAAACTTATACCGTATTTGCTGATATTTTTAAAACAAATTTGCTTATAAAAATTTGGCATATTCCAATTTTGATTTATTTGGAAAACAAGAGGTAAAAAAAAACTAAAAACTGCGAACATTTCTCCCATTCATAACCATTTCCATGATACTTGCAAATTAGCCTATCAAATACAACTAGGGCCACAATACTATCAAAAGAAGCATGGACAGATACGTAACAACAAATGAAGTTTCACAATGCTCAATTTCCGTAGTCATTGACCATATAAATAAGAAATCTGTAAGATAAAAGATTCAAAATTCAGACTAACATTTACGATTATGGAAAAATGCTGATCATTCTACCTATGTTAGAAATTTGTGTTATCAAAGTCCTCAAAAGGAAATAAAATTTTATATCTCGCTTCTGAGCACTGAAAAGCCATTTCCTTCAGCAAAACGGCATCGCACTTATTTTACGAACAACAACATTCATTTTTTCCACCAGCAATCATCCGCAAACAATTTTCACCGGAAATTTCATACAACGTGCACAGTCTAGGACACGGCAGACGATGCCCAACATAAATATACAGAAATTCTACGCAAACAAGATTCCCTAAACCTGCATCATGCATCCAAAAAGGGATAGGAGAACAGAAGGAAAGGACCGAGCTTACCCCTTGCTTGCCGGGGATCGTGCAGTGCCAGACCATTAGATTGACGGAACCATCAGGCAGCGTCTCCGGCTTCGCGACGAAACCCTAGGAGGAAATTGAGAAGCGAAAACTGTATCATCTGCAGAGGAACGGAGTTTAAAATGTAAGAAACTAGAGAAGAGTACTGACGTGAGGATGATTCTTGCGCCATGCCTTGCGTTCCTCGGCGAGACGGCCGCGCGCAATACCACCCGACATTTTCCCCCGCTGAATTCTATTCTTTGCGTTCTTCCTTTACACTGTGGTAAGACTAGGGTTTTGGCTGCCTCATGGAAATTGGAATTAAGTGAAGTAGAATTTACTAAATCTGGAAAATCCGAATTTAATAAATTCATTGATGTTAAATTTAAATTTTTATTTGATATTATTTAGATTAAATCTTATTAAATTCATAACAAAATGTTTAGCATTTATTTTTGACATTTAACGTATACTCAAGTTTGTATTTAGGATTTGTTTGGGGCAACTGCAGCGGTTTGATGCAGCAGCAGCTGTGAAGTTGGTGCAGAAGAAGCAACTGGTCAAAAAAATTGTGGAGACTCTTATTTTTATTTTAATTTCAAAAAATTACATATGAGCTTTCTGACAAAAAAAAATAGTTTTTTTTTA